GTGGGCCTCGTACTCCTTGACCTTGGTGTTGTACTCCGTCTGCCGGGTGGCCTCCTGCATCTTGGACAGCTCGAGGGCCTCCCGGGCGTGTTCTGGACGAGATTAACATGGGTATGGGTCATGGACATGGACTCTTACTCCCAGACTCACACGCACGCTGCGATAGCATGGCGCATGTCGGTTACGCAATTGGCTGATGAAATTTTCCGCTTACTTGAACGCTCCAGAGTCTTGGCCGCATCCGCCGCCCGTTCCAGTGCCGACGAGTCGAAGCGGTACGCCTCCATGGCCTTGCGCTCCGCCCGGCTCAGCTGCGCATCGCCGGACTTGTCGCCGGCCGTCCTGCCCTCCGGATCGGCTCCACCTCCATCGGGAAATCCAGCCGATTGCTCTGGCTGCGGCTGCTGACGGTTCCTGCCCAAAAGCCACGACATGGTGCTGCTACTTTGGCGTGCGCTACTCGCGCTTTTCACTCAAGTTTTGGGGGGCAAAAAAACAATCTAGAAAATATTACGAAATTTTGACAGCTTTTGCTTTTACATCGAACAACGTGATTCTCAACTAGTGTGGCCAGACGCGGAGAAACGATGACGGTTGAATGGTGATTAATCGATAATAAAGTTGCCACACTGTTTCGCCGGGTCGAACTCACCACCGCATCAGCTGTTTGTGGTGAACAACGATTGTAAACAATCAAAGATTTGCCATTTGTTTGATTTCCTTGCGCTTATTTAGCTGCCTAGGCGAGCCCACCAAGCATGTTTGAACGCAACCAGAAGACCATCTTCGTGCTGGACCACACACGGTACTTCAGCATTGCCAGCGAGGAGTACATCTCCATGGATTTCCTCAAGGGAAAGCCTTCGGTCGACGGCGGAGGAAACGCAACCGGAGGAGGTTGTGGATCCCAATTCAGCAAGAGCCTGTGGACCTGTGCCTGCGAGTCCTCCATCGAGTACTGTCGCGTTGTCTGGGACCTCTTTCCGGGCAAGAAGCATGTCCGCTTCATCGTCTCCGACACTGCTGCCCACATCGTGAACACCTGGAGTCCCAGCACGCAGAACATGTCGCATGTGATGAACGCCATGGTGATGGTGGGCGTGCCGTCGCGCAACATGCCCCAGTCATCGGACTACTCGGTGATCCACGGCCTGAGGGCGGCCATCGAGGCTCTGGCCGAGCCCACGGACGAGCAAATGGCGGCGATGGCCGACTACGGCCCCGAGGAACTGCCACGCGTTCCCAACAAGGGGCGCGTCATCTGCATCACCTCGGCGCGGGACAACATAAGCATGAAGAGTTTGGAGGACATCTTCAACACAGTGCTGGTGCAGCAAAACGCCCTGGCAGCGCCGCCGGCCAAGAAGGGTTTGTCCATCGACCACTGCCACCTGGTCATCCTCAACATTGTTCCGTTGGGCGTCGAATCGCTGGTGACAAATCGCAGCCTGCTGAAGATCTCGCCGCTGCTGGACGTTGAGATCCACACGGTTAGCGCTCCGGACATCTCGTACAAGTTGACACACCTAATCCTGAACCACTATGACCTGGCCAGCACCACGGTGACCAATATACCCATGAAGGAGGAGCAGAACGCCAATTCCAGTGCCAACTATGACGTGGAAATCCTGCACAGTCGACGCGCCCACTCCATCACTTGTGGCCCGGACTTCAGTCTGCCCACGAGCATCAAGCAGGGCGCCACGTACGAGACGGTGACCCTGAAATGGTGCACACCACGCGGCTGCGGCTCGGCGGATCTGCAGCCCTGCCTGGGCCAGTTTCTGGTGACACCCGTGGATGTGACTTCGCGGCCAAGCTCGTGCCTGATCAATTTTCTGCTAAACGGACGCTCTGTGCTGCTGGAGATGCCGCGCAAGACCGGCTCCAAGGCCACCAGCCACATGCTGTCTGCCCGCGGTGGCGAGATCTTTGTCCACTCGCTGTGCATTACGCGTTCCTGCATGGATGAGGCGCCGGCCATTGCCGATGGCCCCGGCGGACGCGTCCCGGACTATCGCATCGCAGAGCTCGGCCAGCTGATCAAGATGTCGCGCATGGTGCCGCTGAAAGTAAAGGATCCGGCTGCTCCCACGATGACGCGTCGATTGCCGCGCTATTTCCCGCTGACCACCAGCTCCTCGATCTTGTTCCACCTGCAGCGGCAGATCAGTTGGCTGCCGCACTTCCTGCACCTGTTGGTCAAGGAGGACATGGACAAGCAGGAGGAGGTGCGTTGCCAGCAGCACATTCACGAGCTCTACAAGAGCGCCTCGCGCGGCGAAGTTCTGCCCTTCACCCATACGAATGGAGCCAGGTAGGAATTTAATACCTTATTTAATATATACTATGATTTTATAATTGTCTGCTTTCGTTTTAGGCTTAAGCCCTCCAAGGCCAAGGACCAGTATCGTTTGCTATATAGGGAGCTGGAGCAACTCATCCAACTGAACGCAACCACAGTGCACCACAAGAATTTGCTGGAGAGTCTGCAGAGTTTGCGTGCCGCCTATGGCGATGCGCCGCTAAAGTCGGAATCGGGCACCAGTCTTCTGCGCTCCTACACGGAATCCCCGCTTTCACCTGAGCGGTTGGAACCCCACAGCAGCGGCAGCGGCAGTGCCAGTGGCAGCAGCAACTCCAACAGCCTGCTTAAGGCCAGCAAACGCCGCATGTCCAGTTGCGGGCAAAGGTAGGCTTCTCATCCCTAGATAAACCTGTACTAATCAATTCATTATCGCCAGATCCCTGCTTGATATCATCTCGTCAGCGGAGCGAAGTCAGTCCAACAAACGCTTGGATTTTTCGGGTCGTCTTTGCACGCCATTGGGGCAAGTCGCTAAATTGTATCCGGACTTTGGCAACAAAGAGAAGGATTCAATAAGTACGGGAGCCAGCATTACGCCAAATGTCAAGGAGGAATCCATACGCAGTTAATAGGAGAGTTTAACCATCTGAACTATGATCTGCTGACATATGATCCAGACATAATTATAGGAAGAAACTTTCTGTAATATTTTCCTTAAGCATAAGACTTTGATATGGAATAATTGAATGTTGCAATTAAGTATTTTTCCATGCTCTTGGTTGGCTTATGTATAAGCTACATTTATTCCCATGATTTAATCAGCTTTTTTAAGGCTGGGAAAACCCAAAACTCTTTGTGGATAAAAGTTTATGTAAGCTGCCTCAAAATGAATTAGTTTATGATTCAAACTGTATGTTTAACTTAAGAAATTCTATATTTGCTTTTGTAAGATCAGACTTTTTTAAGTTTTTTGATCTTTCACAACCGATATCCATTGTTTAAAATATTGTAACTTAAGAATAATTTACTGAGTGCTAGAAAACGCAGATTTATTTCGAGTTTAAAACAAAAGTAAACGAATTAAAATAAACAATGAGTTGCATTTACGTTTTTACAATAAATTTTTAAGTTATCTTTAGAGCTTTGTCTTATTAAATTTTTGTTTCAAAACCTTTTCCATCAAGGTTTCTTTTGTTCTATTTGTTTTGTAAAAAAAAAATGTGTGTACATTAGTGACTTTCCCAGATAAATTAAGAAAGTACTTGCAAAATTATCTGTTAGCCAAAGACGATGACCAACAATACCACGGTGAAGAAGGTTATGCAAGTAACCGAGGAGGCGGCACCACCACTGCACAGTAAGCGCCAACTTCCTTTGCTATGTTTATTATTATTAATTAACCCCATTTTTCATTGGTAAAGTTCCCATAATGGTGGGCAATGAGACGTTCGTGCTAACGCAGCAGGACATCCGGCGAGTGGAGGACATCCGGATGCTAACCTACAATCGATTGGAACCAAACGGGCATCCTTTTCCCATGGTCTCATATCCAACTGCTCCGGGGCCTTTCTGCCTGCCCACCACCACGAATTTCTGCCCCCTTAACGATCTTATCGCCCGGCCCCCAGCCAAAAGGGTCAAGTTGCAGCTGGACGAGGGCCACGATGCGGAAATCCCCGGCCGGATAAAGACGGTGGCCAGTGTGGCCACTCAACTGGGCTGGTCCAAAATCAAGGCGGAGCCAGAGTCCGTTTTTCCCCTTCGTTACAGCACTTGCACCTCTACTTGCGGCCTGATGACGAGCACCGGCTGCCAGCATTCTCCCTGCTCCAAGAAGCAGGACTCGAGCTGTCAAACTCAAAGCAGTTCCACTTCCAGTCCCAGTCCAACTGCAATTGCAACGAAGCAGTCGCCGCGGCATGCTGGTTGCCAAACTCAGTCTATTCCCAGTCAAACTTTGAGTGCAAAGAAGGAGCCAAAGAACTCGGCTTGCCAAACGCCACCCATTACAACCTCCACGGGCTGCAATACCTCATCCAGCCACCTTATTGAAGGAACCTCCACCGAGTCATATCTATCGGATGTAAGTAAATGTTCGTCGGAAGAGGAGACTAAGCATCTCCGTCCGCGCTGCAAAGCACAGCAAAACGAGCTGATGATGCAGGAAAGATCTTCGCTGGAGCAGCCTTGCACCTCGCGGAAAATACACTTTGATCTCTGTCCTCAAGATCGGCATGGGGAATGCTTTGAGCGCAAATCCTGTCCCCAGCAATTGGATAAGCGTGTAAAACAGGAGGCTGAGGGCTTTTATAGGACGGTTCCGTTAAGTAAATCCCCTTATCGACGAACCCTCAGCAGAGCTCCAGACTCAAAGGCAAGAAAAACACCAGCATTCGTCTTGACAGGACCCATCGAGCACAATCCAAACTACGAGGAACTGCAGCAGGAGCGCAGGATGTACGATTCAACAGTCGCCAACAAGCAGCAGTGATGATCGCTTTTCTATATTAACACATACTTCATTTACGTTTTGTATAACCTTGCAAATATTTGTAAAAGTAGTGACTTTATAAGATAATCAATACTACTTATGTCGATCCAAACTCACTTGAACATTGTAAACTATTTTTTGTAATATTAATTAGTTTCAATAATATAAACAACGAGAAAATAATATTTTAAATTATTTTTCTTCTTTTTTAAAAATTTCTATATTTAATAACTAGTTTACTTACACTTTTACCATAAGGCTATGGCTAAAACTAATTCAAGGCCTTCAGTGCCGAACTTTTGATGAGGCGTTTTCTCTTTTTGGGCGGCGCCTCCTGCTCAGTGTCCTTTGGAAGCTTCTGCTTCTTGGGTTTTGCCTTTGGCTTGGACTGGGGCTTCGGCTTGGGCTCCTCCTGCGTCTGCTTGGCATTAAAGTACCGCTTGGGCTGCTGATGCTCGCGCTGCTCCCGCTTGAGCTCCTCCGGAGTGGCAATGCGTAGGTAGAAGTCTTTAAGCAGCAGTTTGAAGTCCTCGATTAGCGTTTCCTTGAGCACTTGAACTTTGCCGTTTTCGCAGGGAGTGCAGGCCTGCAGCTCGGTGACCTTGAAGGGCTTTGGTGCGAATTCAGTGGGTGGCCGCCACACAATAGCCAGTTCCTTGCCGCCGTGGGGATTGTAGAAGAAAGCAGCGAACTCCGAGTAGGCAGACTACATGTGATAAAAAGGGTCTCATTAGAAGTAAATATATATTTAAATTCCTTCTCTTCTTACCCTCAGTTGTCTCACAATCCTTGCTAGACGATCTGCTCCTGCCGGCGGCAAAAGGAAGTTGGGCTGGCTGAAGGACACGAACGGGGATCCCAGATCGAAGCTCAGGGAATTGGGCACCAGATCCGGCTTGAGTTGTATAACCAAATCGTATCCCTCGTTGGAGGCACGGAACAACTGGGCTGGCCGCACGAACCTCAGATCCTTCGACATCAGACTGGTCTCGATAATTTCGAGGCCATGACGGGCCAATCGCGTCACATGTCCCAGTACCCGTGGGCTGGGTGATTGCTCCGAGGTCCACAGGCGTCCGGCATGCTGCATATCGTAGGAAGTGGCCACAGCCAGGGCGGGATAACTCTGGCGGTCGCTGCGGTAGCTGTGCTCCAGGTCCGCAATTTGTTGTTCTAAATTGAAAAAGTGTTATATAGTTAGTCTGCTATTTTTTCAGAGTGGTAGCTAAGGACTTACCCTGCCAGCTGTTGTTAAAGTTGAGCAGAAAGAGCTCGCCATTGAAGTCGCTGTGGGCGAGCAGTTGCAGGAAGCGAATGAAGCCGGTTTGGGGCGCCGCAATGGCCTGTGGCGCCTGCCGCTGCTGGAAAAGATGCGCCACCAGCAGTTCTGTGGCCGTTTCAGGCCACAGACCATCGTCCAGCAGCTGGGTGGCAAGCCAACGCTTGGCCAGAAGCACAGTGGGACCGAAGGCGGAGTGCGTCTGATGAAGCGAATGCAGAGCGCCGCTCACTTTGGGCAGTATGTAGTGCTGACGCTCGAGGGCACGACTTGCTGGATTATCCACGTACGTGGTAATGCCACGTTCAGTGACCTCTTGCTTGAGCAACGCCAGCTCCTTGCTGTGGGCCAGCTCGATGAGGAAGCAGAAGCCCTGCTTTAGCACCAGCAGACCCTCTGCGGAGAGCATCCATTGAAGGTGGCACTGCGCCTCCAGCTTCTGGCCAATCTCGATGAGGAAAGCCGTCTTAAGCGCGCGCAGTGCAGTCAGTTCGTTAGGCCACTTGCCACTCTGGCCCAGCTGGATGACCACCCGCTGCACATGGCTGGTCAGGATGTGGCTGCCTGCCACACGCGCCTGGGGCAGCACTGGCTGGGGCTCGCAGTAGCGGAAGACGGGTGATGTGCCCGATATGGAGACGATCTCCAGTGGCAGATCGTTTAGGCCGTGCAGTTGGCGTGCCAGTTCATCGTAGCAGCGGATGACGTGCGGACTGAGGGCCTCTGCATCGGTGTCCTGATCCAGTGGCAGCTTGGTCTTCAGCTTGTTGACCTTGAACCAGGGAGACAGGCGGTAGACCTCTTCCAGCTCAGCGGCAATGTATTGCACATCTTTGCTCTCCACTTGCAGGTGATGCTCCAGCAAGTGAAGCACAATCTGGCGAACAATTAGTCGCTTCTTGGCGGGCGCATCCTGGGCGGTGCCCCAGACCACAGCCTCGGTGATGCTGCCATCCTGGAAGCGGCGAAGATTTGACTTTTCTCCCCAAAACCGACGAAACTCGGCCGCTCCCGCGGGATCCTCGTTGGCGGCTGGTCCTTTATTTAACACCTCGTAGGCGTGTTCTGGCTGCAGTATTAGCCCCAGTTGAATGTGCTTTCCAATGACAGGAGCCTTGTTTTCCACGGGCCAGGCTTCTGTGGCCTTTTCCAGGGGAATAATGGACTGTACACGCTCAGCAAGTCCCTTTTTAAGTAGGCTGAAAATAAGGATATTTATGGCTTATATGGCTTAGAAAAAAAACCACCACATTAACTTACTCTGTGAGCAACTGCAGCAACTGTGGATAACCGTATTTGGCATAATCGTACTTGAACTGAGGCTGAGAGTACAGCAATAGCATCTGATCAACACACGAATAATTGGTAATTCTAAGCAAATAAGGATTGAAAGTGTTAAATTTAAAAAGAATATTAAATGTCAGTTGAAGCCTTACTTCAAGATGTTGTCCACCCGGCTGTACAGTGGACACTTCTGCATGAAGATGAGCGGAAAACTGTTAAGCTTCATGTCATTGAGCAGGTCAACGGCTAGTTTGGCCTCCTCTCGAACCCTCTGGTAAACGGAGAGTGGAACATTCGCGCACAGGTTAAGCTGGCCAGTGATGTCCATGAAGCAGACATCATAGTGCGCAGCCAACTTTCCCAGTTCTTCCGTTTGGCTCGAAGCGGCAGCCAGGCTAACGCCTTTGGTCCAATCAGTGTTGGCCAGTTGGTTCCACACGGTTCGTGCCACCTGATAGCTACTGCTCGACTGGTGTAGGATGCGCTGCGCGTTCAGATAGACAATGTAGGCGGCTAGGATGTGGGTGCCAAAACCGCTGTAGCCTATGCCCAATTCCCGTTGACGTAGCCACACTTTGAGGAGCAGTAGACCGTCCTGGAAGTTGCGCCTGCCCTTAAAGGCCTTCTCCAGATGTGCCTGGTTCTCGGCCAAAGTCAGATCGAACAGCACGTTGGCGTTGTAGTGCTGGGTGGAGGGCAGCGGCTCCTCTTCGTCCCACTCGTCATTGAACAACGACGGGCGAATATTGTTGTTCCAAGGCACAAAACGACCCGGCTTAAAGCTGCTCAGCGGTGCAGTGATGAACAGGCGCACCTGCAGATGCTTGTTCACCTGCTTAGCCACTGGGGTCAACTCCAGTACTGGCTTCAGCGGATTGTTCGCATAATAGTTGAAGGCGAACTGGTCGTTGGCGTAACTCGGGGACTCCTTCATCCTCTCCGTCACGTAGGTGAGGTATAGGGCTCGCTTTTGGTCATAGCGAAGGTTCAGGTAATCCTCTTTGTGCAGGGATTCCTTCGGCATCTCCAGAGCCACATCCACCACGATCTTGGGACCCAGCAGTGTTCCCGTGGCGGCGGCTCCAATCAGATAGGGTTCTCGGGTGGGTTTGGAGAAAACGAAGCCTAATGGCTTTTGGGCCAGATTCAAAGGCACTTCCAGGTGGGTACGCTCCATTAACCCATCCTTTAGCTGTTGGGTGAAGGTCTTGAAGGATTCCAGCCAGTTGTCGATAAACTCTGTGTACTTGGGCTTTAGCTGCAGCTCCTCCAGCATTTCCTTGACTTGCAGCTTGAAGAGATTGGAGTGGAAGAGGTTCTGGGTGTCGCGCAACTCCTTCATCTCCTCCAGAGTGGGTGGCTTTACATTCTTGGCCTCGTCCCGCTGCTTGAACTTATTGATCTTCGGCTTGGTGGTGGACTGGTTTGGGTTCTTTTTGGCGGGAATGGGTTCCGGCTCATCGAAGCCATCGTCGCTGCTAGGACTTGACTGCTCCAAGTGGGTGTGATCCTCTGCAGTTAAATCCTCCTGGGACTCCGCTCGAGCGGCTTTCTTCGATGTTTTGTTCGGTATCCGCGCCTGTTTCGGTGAAATGCTAAGACAACTTATTTCTTCTTATTAATCTAGGCCCACTTACCGACTTTCCCAGTTTCCTTTTAGTTTTAAGCATCGTGTTTTAAGCAAACAATTTAAATTAAAATTTATTTATTTTTTGGAGAGAGAGCGCAACTCGCACGTGTTGCAACTGCGGTATTTAAGTATTCGGTATTTAAAAGCCATTTGAATATGGTCACCCTAGACCAGGCAGTTTCGTTTTTTAGTAACAAATCAGTCGCGAAAACAAACTGTAAAAATCGAACGTAATTACAAATAATAGATCACAAAAAGTTTATGAATTAATAAAACATAAAAGAGCCAAATATTTGGCATAATAAAAAGTTTAACCAACTCGTGCTAATTTTTGCAGCGCCAAATGTAAGTGTGTGTATTCTCGTTATTTTTTATGCTCGATATCATTAAAAAAGAATTAAGCAAAGCTTTGATATTTATAAAAATGTGTTCCCAGTGAAAATATAAAACAAAAGTGCAGATTTTGCTTTTCCACTTAAAGTTTAAGTGTAGTTAAACAAAGTTGCCGGCTAATTGGCTACGCCAGCGGTATTTTAATTGGTATTTTTATTTTATAAATTATTTAAAGCTAGTTATAGTTTACAGTTTGTAATTACTTATAAATATTTATATAATATAATATAATAATATAATTAAGCAAATTAGTTTCGACCAGTTTTCAGTTCTTTAATTTACCCACGGTATTTCCTTTTTCGACCAACACGGTCTTACTTCGTCTCAGTCCATGTTCGAGTGTGTGTGTGTTTGCAGGCAAGGGAAAAAATCGCACCATTTTTCTCGTGCCCTCTTGCGTGCGTTTTTTGGTCTTTCGAGGACAGTTTCGTTGGATATTAAACAAACTTAAGCCCAGCTAAATATGTAAAAAGTAGTGAATTAAGTAGTTACCGAGAAAGTGACGAGCGCACAGCCGCAAATCGAGTTGCAAATTATATTCGGTCCGAACGTGTGTAACAGTGTCTGTGCGTGCGTGCGTATGAGTGTATGGGTAAAAAAATGAGGCGTAGTGAAAATGCGTGCAAAACTGTATAAAAGGTAAATCGTCAGAATCGATTTGTCTTACATATTAAGCCTAAAAGTTGTTCCATTGCGTACAAATCAGCACAAAACCAAACAATGATGCGTTGGCAGAAAGGCGGCCCATTGAAAAAATATGGCCAAAAGTCGAGTAGTTACACCCTCTCTGTCTCTTTTCCCCACTGTCGTTCTCTTTCCCTCTCATTTTGTTCATAGCCGCTATGGCTCTTTTTGCATCGAATAACAAAACGTGAAAATTTATAAAAATAAACGAAATCACGTACGGAAATATTCACTTGACCTTGCGTCCAAGATTTTTCCAACACTTTAATTGGAGTGTGGTGCAAGCCAACAAATTGGCCCTATTCTGAGCCGTTGGCAGATTTTTCTTAATGACCCTAGGGAAATGGAACTTTTTTTTGGACAAATTGTTATAAGTAGAAAAAACCAAAGGTCAATAATAGCACTCCAAAAATTAAATGATAATCAATGAGGAAAAGCAAATTTAGTTAGCGCTCTGGGCGCTGCTTAGTGTGACCAGTGTGCGCGCAGACAGGCCAAACATACCAAAAAATACCACTATACGCTTACAGTTTTTGGGCTCGAACTTATTTTATTTATCTACACAGAGAAAAATACATATATCATCTACCAACATATATTTAAAATGATGTATTAAAATATGCTTTAAAAATTATGATGACAAAGCATATACAATTAATAAGTGTGTTTGAAAGCGGTGGAACTCCCTTCCGAGCTTTAGGCAAACTAAACGCCTATCTAATTTAGCATTGTTTAAATATTAAAGTTATGAAGAATGCAAATGTATATTTTTCACCTACGCATTTCGACTTGACATCGAGCTGAATTTTTATTTCTGTTCAGCATATTTAAACGTCATTTCCTTCTTTTACAGATTGCTATGATTTCAAGGCGCTGAAGCCATGTGCTATAAGTGTTTAAGCGTGCAACTGACCGGTTAAATTGTCCATAGCTGAAATTTAACTACACCCTAACAACAACAACAGCAGCAGCACTTTTGCCTAAAATGTCAGCCGGGAATGGAAGAAAAACATAGCAGCAAACTGAATGAATTCAATTCGGAGTTCGGATTTGTTGTCACACAAATTGTTGGATAAAATGTGCAAAAGTGTGTTTGTCAAATTGTTTAGCCAAAATTATTTGTTTACCTAGTTATTCAGTGTAGCACGAGACTGTTTTCCCTTACACCCTAAAACACACATTTGGCTAAGTTGCACCGAAACATAGAACTGAGCCCGAAATTAAACCAGAAACTCGATCAATCGTTCAGCGGCAACGGATTAGCAATAAGAATTTAATAATTCTACGACAAATAGCCCGCCTTTTGACATTTGTACACATAACTACACAGCACACACTCACCAACACAAAAGTTCACATCAAAAAATTAAAAAAAGAAAAAAAATTAATAAAGTAAAGCAACAAAAAGGAAAACTCAAGGAGATGCTGCTCAAATTTCATACTTAATGTCAAAAAACAACGACGATCCCACAGAAATAAAAACAACAGCCAGAGCAGGAAAAGGAACAACAGGAATAACTGTAAGCTAGCGAAGAGCGAACCAGGGAGCGAGAGGACGAGATCATTCCTTACACACACACACCTGCCGTGTCGTCTCGTTCAGTCACCTGTAATCGAGTGGGAGAAAAATAGAGAGCAGCGGATCTCCCGTTACCGCATGTGCGACATGCGCGGACACTAAGTGAGTGTGAGTGAGTGCGCGTGTGCAAGTGCGTGCGAGTGTGCGCGAGTGTGGGCGGTGAGAGGATAATTCGCTCAATTCGCACGCATCCCACAGATCCCTCAGATCCTCCAGTTTGTGCAGCAAGCAGAACCCGCATTTCGGATCAAACCAATCGCCAAACAGCAAACAGTAACCACAACAACAACAACATCAGCAGCAGCGGTAGCCGATAAAAATTCATTATCAAAATTCACGGAAAAGACGATCCAGTTCTTGAGCCAAAATTCAAGAGAGATTAGCTAGGCGAAATGCAGCGACGTGAACGGCAAGCTAGGTGAGTTATGATTGTCCAAGCTTCCCCAGATTTCTTTGAGAAATTTTTATTAAATTTTTGAATATTTTTAAATTATAAGATTCTAATTTTTATATGTATCGAGATAAAGTCAAAATACCATTATCTAACTACAAAGCTGATCCGTAAAAAATATTACTGGCTTATTCAATAAGTAACTATGTTTTGCGACTTTCCGACCCCAAGCAACACTGAAATTGTGCGTAAAATCAATTGAATTGCGACTTTTTTTTTTACAACTTTGCATTGATAAACTCTAAGAAAACAACACTCTTAAGCAAGGAAAGTGTTGGTTGTTTCCATTAATTTCTACAAATACGTATCGTGCCTCTTGCTATCAGGCCTAGAAACGGGTGGATATTTTGATAGCGATAAGATTATGACTATGACAAAGTGTTTGCAAGTGTTTAGTTTTTTAAAATTATTAATTTTTATAGTTGATTAAACCTCGAATTCTTCAGAGCAATAGGTTTTTTAAACAATTTAAGACAAATTAATAATTTATGTCTTATTGATTCCTTCCTAATATCAGTGATCCTAAAAAGCAGATTTTAATTTCCTAACAAATACTGTACATTGCCAAAAGTTCAACCATCAGTTGAGTTTCGTATTTGTTGCTGCCTTTTACTTTGCCAAAGGATTTTATTTTTAGCAAAGAGATGTTTCTATTTAAACTTGTGTGTTTGAATTTATTTTATTTTCGCAAGTGTTCTTGCTGCTTTTGGTTTATGGCGTCTGCTTCTTGTCGCCTCTGGCACGCCAGTCGAAATAGGATGAAGAGCGTTGGGAAGGGGGTGAATAAAATGGTTTTTCAATCCAATACATAATACCCACAGATGTGGGTGCATAATAGATGCCCTTGCTGTTTGTGTAGAGAAGCGGGAAACGAAGTGCACACAACTCACGCACATTCTAAATATTTTATAGGCATTTTAGTTGATCGGCCTCCTTAAGTCAGGGTGACGGAAGGCACCTCATTCACCTTGAATATGGGTCCAAAGTTGTCGTAGCTGATGGTTTTACCTCCGGCTCGCTTATTGACATTTCTAGGTTTTTGTTTCTCCCAAATCCTCCTGTGAATGTGACTTTGTACGTGTGTGTGTTATAGTTTTTTATACGCACATTCAACTGCCATTGGGTCTTCCCAATGTTTACTGTCTGCATTTTCGGGTCTTCCAGCTATATTTACTCACACAAAGCACTTGTTTGCTCGTCGCCCAAGCGTTCCCAACATGCGACTTTTGGGCGCAGTTTATCAGATTGAGCCATTGTAGAATACCCTGTAAGACCAGGACCTACGATCCTTAAATGCTTGTAGATAAAGTATTTGTTTTTCGACTCTTTTCGAAATGACAAACGATTTGTTTAAATTACTTGCATAGCAAGCTAAAAATTAAACAACATAGTTGTAAGCTTCAGAAACAATCTCACAAACAAAAGTTTAAATTAAAAAATTAAATTTCCAAATGCGCCTACTTTTGCAAACACGGATTCTTCCAGCGAAAGGGGAATTTAAAATGTTTGTTGACCCGCTTATATTAAAGTAGGTTAAGTAATAACTGGTGATGATTGAGCCTTTTTGCTTCCATGTTTATCCAACAAAAAGTTAGAAAGAGCAAAACAGAAATTATGTTGCAACATTTATTTTACACGCCACTGACAGTAAATAATAAAAGAAATTGGAAAGCAACTAGCCAAACTAACGTAATTTTGTTGCTAGCCAACGAGCAAACTTACTCACACACGTCTAAATATTCACATTTCCACACATTTTAGATGGAGACAGCGAATGTAGCGTAAAACAAACTTTTTGTATTACTTTTTGTTATTTAATAGCCAAGCTGTTATGGAAAGAGGTCGGTGAAGGGGCGACGGGGATAACCTAAATTTTCATTTAGAAACGAGAACAGCAAGCGGAATAACATAGGCCACGCCAGTGCTGCCACCTGCCACCCATTGAGAAGGCTCTACAGTTGAGCTTTCCTAACTCAAACTGGCATTACTAACTCCGTTAATATAATATGAATATTTCTTCAAAAGTTATTTAAGTTATATTAAGTTTTCTAACTCCGAAATATCTGTTTATCGATTAAAATATTTTTTTTCAAGTAGAAAAGTATAAATAAATTGGAATTGGTTCAAACGTACATACGAATTTGAACCCAATTTCAGCCGAAGAGATTTCAGTATATTTTTTAACCCTAACGTTTTTTTCATATTCCGGAAACATATTTTATGAAATTGAATTAAAGTTAAAGCGATCTGCACTATTTCGTCTTGCAAATTTTCTTTCTCCCAAATTTTCTCAAAAAAGACAATTTTTGACTTTTTGATTCGAGTGTTTTAGTTAGGACAACTAACTGTATTGCCTAGAATTGGGAGAGAAAGAACCGCAAAAGGAAAGCCAAGTTGCGTGCGGCGAAAAGTAGCTCCTATAATAATAACACAAGAAAACGATGATGAAAAGCGAATGAAAGCGAGAGGACAACGGTGGGGAATGGACTGGGTGACCAGCGAGCAGCAGCTGTGGTGCCACATAAAAACAAGGAAAAAATTGCGGATTTAGCAATAATAATGTGGAATGTAAAGGCGAAACACACCGAAATAAAAAGCAAAGCTCGAGTGACCCATCAAACATTCGCACTCACACACATAAACCACGGCAGTATTTACCGGTGACGTCATTAGTCTGTCGTCAACTGTCAATCGCTGGCTTCTCTTTTTTATGTTTTGCTCCACAGAGAATAAGTAAATGGGTGACACTGCGTAGGGGTGTTTCTCTCAATGGGAGCCACAGAAAAGTCAAAAGAGCCCAACTTATTCCTGAAAATAAAAGAGAAAACCTAATGACCTACAACCGATAATGCCAAAGTAAAACAGCCTAAAGGCAACATACATTTGTTTTGGACCAATTGCTCTATAAGTTTATATATAAGTTTAAAATGCAGTCAACAAACTGGTCACAGCAAACTTATTGTGATTCCGGTTACTCGAAACTTCTTTCTTATCGATATTGTCCTAATTTTGATTTGCAATGATAAGATCAAAAACAAATTTACAAATGAAGAAAGATTTTAAACATTCTTCTTTGTTCTAAAATTGGTGCGATAAACACATCAGAAAATTCATGTGATATCTAACTGTGCTGAATGAAGAAAAAATTACAAATTAAATGCATGGAAAAGGGCAATGCCAGCAAAAGGCTGGGAAACAAAAAAAGCCAACAGTGTGAAAATTTCGTCTAATTAAATTAGATGCTCGAGTCTCATAAAAGGAAAAAGGCAAACGGGGGAGGAGTGCGCGTGGGTGAAAGTAAAAGCCTGTCAAACAAATCGATGGGATTTCACATACAAACAGCTGACACAAAGCTTTGACGGAGCCTCCTTTTTCTCTGCCAATTTTCATTTTGACACAGACGTTTGCGGTTGGATAAGTTTAAGCCTTCGGCAGTGAATCACCAGGTTATTTTGTCAGATGGTCAGGAACTTGAATCAGGAATGAAGTCCTAAGTGGAAATGTACGACATTTGATATTAAACTATAGTGTATTCTAGTTCAGTTTAAACAAATTAAATTTCAACATATGTATATGTTGCATTTAAACTTGAATTAAACTCTATTAAATAAACATGTTTTACCACAGGGCAGCTTTAAATAGAACCATCAAAAATTCTTTTCGAATTTCTCACTTTTCTGCACTCGAAATTTCAAGAGCAGCGCCATGAAGAAAAAAATGAAAAGGGACAAGTGCTGTTCAAGTAACTCGGCTGGCTTAAGTTCGCTTTTTTCTTTTATCTTACCACCCCCTAAAGCTGCCTCTCTACCGCTCTGTTTGCGTTAATTTTTCATCTTTGTCTCTATCATGGTGTCTGGAGTCGTGGAATTCCTTGAGCGGAGGAAAAAGCGGACTAACAGATTAGACGTGGCTTTGGCGAGGAGCATAACAAGTTGCTCGGGTCAAGTTTTGGTTTTGTTTGAGTTCCTTTTGTTTCCACCACACTCATGCGTTCTGTTCTGCGATTTTTACCAGGTATTTGTTGAGTGTCAGGAAAATACGGCAGAGGCAAAGTGAAAAATGTCTATATATTAAATATTTCTCAGAGTAATACAGCTTAATATTCCTCTAATAATTTATATAAAATATTCTTCAGTGTTTGCTGGCGACAGAGTGTGTCAAAGAAAGACTTAAGTCATTTTTAATGAACCGAATGAGTCGGCTTTGAGCCCTTTCCTCATATCTCTCTGTCCATCTCCTTCGTCTTAAGATTGTCTGTCGTATATTTCATTTACTTTATGCCCTTGCCTACTGATAATTAAGCAGCAACTGGTTTTTCCTTATGTCATTGAATTGGTTCTTGTCCGCTTCTTTTGTTTTCACTCATAATTGTTTTTAATTTTCGAAAACAAATAAATGTCGCAGGGAAAGCAAATATAAATTACATTTTAATTAATTAATTGCCTGGCCACCAAAGAAAACCAAAAGCAACAGTAAATGACACATGTGTATACACTGTAGATTCTACAGTCATCTCCCCCAGCTATTCGCCATCTCTGTCGCGCCTCTGCAATTGAGGTCAAATGCGTAGTCGCATATCAACTGCAGTAACCTCTGAGCGAGATAGAGAATCGAAGAGAGAAAGAGAGAGCTCAATAACCCCAAAGTCCAAGTTGTTGCTCGAGTTTTGTTTTGCTGTTTCTTTACTTCGATAATTACACCAACCAAATGCACACATCTTGTGTAGCTGGCCATATCGATGTGCAGCTAAAAAAAAAACCATTCGATTGAAGGTTAAATCACTTGGGAGGCTTAAGTAAATATTTAATCATTTAATTATGACCGGCGGCATTATCAGTATAGATGGTTAGATAAAGTGTACGCTTGTACGTATACGCTTTAAAAATACAAATTGATTTATTCAACCCCTGGCATAGCAAATCCCAAATAAAGCCAAGCGTTTGAAAAAACTTATTAGCCGGATAAAA